AGAAAAAATATGTTGAAAATATTGATCACATTAACGCTGTTAAAATATTTATGTGCAATTGATTTGCTTTGCTATAAAAGTTTTACAGAAATTCGTCAAGAACATAAATTGATTGGAAAACAGTATCTGTATGTTTTTTCAAACTTTCTTTCAAAGTTACACCAATGTAAAGTTATGCTCCACGTCGGGCTATTTCTTGGAAAAGTATACAGTTCACTTTTTGAGATAATGGATTGTCAGTGTCGGAGCTGAGTATTAAAAGAAGATATACTTGTTATGCTACCTGAAAATAGTAATAAATTAATAAAGGTATTTTTGACTAGTATGATTTTCGGGCTTTCTCTTCTGGTCGCAGTAGTCAGATGAAATATTACCGATTTTCTGGCCATACTTTTGTAAACATTATGTTTTATTTGATTTAGGCTGAGATTCGTGTTGATAGTAGAACACATTAGCAGCCGAGTTTTCAACATACCCGAGCATGGAACAAAATCATGAAGCGGTCGCTTGCATCTAGATTTAAAGGTACATTTATCCATCTTCAACTGGCTGTAATTAAGTATATGAAAATTTCGTCGAGTTTCAGCTAGATCGAATCTAGTTTCAATTGGATACAACTAGTTTCTATCGATTAATCGGGCAATTCATTGAGGAATGAAACGGCCGTTTCAGCTAGTACAGGATTTCAATCAGCATGCATCTAGATAAATGTACCTTTTAATCTACTTAATCTAACTGTAAGTGGGCGCTGCAGCTAGATTTTCTTGCTTAGTTAGTCTTGTTTGGGTAGTACCTTTGCCATACGTGACGGAAAACATAACTACTGACGCTTCTGAGAATTTACTTTGAAAGTTATGATTCTTTTTTCTTATTTCTTTCTCTTTAAGTAACAAAAAGCCAGTAGATTAACTGTTGGCTTTTTCCCTTTTTTAATGGTTTCACTTATGAAGGTAAAAAACAAAACCAGGTTTTTCCTTATCTTCTTTATAACGAATTTTGGGCTAAGGAAAAAGTTGTGTTAGTTTAATATATATAAATCGCTTTAAACTCGCTGTGCCTTTCACTTTTTCACTTCCGTTCTCCAAGTAACGGTTATAAAGTAGATGAATACTGATTCAGATACGATAAATATGCTGCTACGGACTAGTAGTATTGTATAGATAAGATAATAAATAAACGATCAAAGAACAGTAAAGTCGCGAATAATAATATGTATCTGAATTATGAAAACATATGATAAACTTCGAATGCAATCAAACTTGCATTGAAAACATATTGCGCCTAATAAAAGGATATATATATGCATATCTCTAAAGTACATGGTTTTACAAGATAAAAACTCAAAATGGATATCTTCAAAACTTATTACGCTAGAATAATCATTAGCTTAATCTCCCCCTCCATAATAGAAGACCACCCTTTAGAACTCGACTTGCGGGACAAAATAGAAGACCAGATGGTCTTCTATTATGGAGGGAGGGGTTAGTCGTATGTCATGAGACATATCAATCAGAAAATGTCTATCATACAAAACCTAAATATCTATATAACAAACCAAAAAAAATAGATAAATATCATGCTAACGTACTAGAAGTATCGTCTAAATAAGATAATAAATGATACAAATATACGCCTTCAGCACTGTAAAAATATTTACATGCTGAAAAAAACGTTTACTTGTTAATAATTAGCTTAGTTATAACGGACAGTGTTCCGTAACTTTTGTTTCTGTTAATAAATTGAACAATTGAAACGGTTCTCGTACGTAAAAAATTAAAATAAACTATTAGTGTGTTAAAAATATGTGACTCTAGTTAAGCCCATCGTATATTTTAAATCGAAATGACATTATGTAAACGAATCGTCCAACAGAAAAAAGTAGAAGAATAAGGTGTTCCAAAAGTGTGTTAAAGTCTTTTGCAGTGTCTTTTGCTCTCCAACGTCAGCGTCTTAAAATAAGTTAATTTTACAGTGAAAAATATAATTTCCAAGGTAAGAAAGCCAGAATATGCAAATAAAATCCTAAAGATGAATGAGAATGAGTGATACGATCAACACTGCTCCAGATTTTGAAATATAACATATTTACGAATTAAACGACTTTTAACCATAGTACACCAATTGAAACCAAATCAAATTCGTTTCAAAAATAATCAACAGAAGTCGTATATCTCTAGCATCAATAAATCAAGTTAAGAAATTAGAATGAAAATTAGAATTTATAATTTTGTACATTTTCTATAATATTGCTAATCGCTATCGCAAGTATATTGTAATGTATATCGAACAATCGAAAAATATACAAAAATTATAATCATGAATACGATACGATATCACTAAAAAAAATTCTATGAAATACGAACCTTCTTAGCTTAAGCTATATCCATTGGTTTACTCTGTTCGAGTAACAATCGAAGCTGTTACATTTTCACGTTTCTTAGCCTCTGCGATAATTAGGGATTGTTGAATATAATCTGGCAAACCAGGATTGAGACTAAGTGTATATGGTAACATCGTTTTGGGCATATTAGCAAAATCAACCATGACTTTTATGAACATTGTATCATCTCTCACATAACTGTTATTATTCTGTTGAATGATTGGTAAAGGATAAAATTTTGGTATACCACTTGCAATATTCATCTCCGATCGGGGTCGTTGAAAACTATTTGACTTCGTATCGGGACGAAACGAATCACTTATATGTTGATTTTGTCCAGATTGATCAAGTAAACAAAATGTCACTTTATAATCAAACGGCCAAGTGAGAATAGCGTCATGCTCACCTTTCATAATAACGAAGAAAAGTGATATATGCGTTCTTTTTGCATTGCCATCACCATTTAAGTATAAACGAGCTCTCATTTTGTATCCAACTGGTGACGAATAGAATGGAGGTGAGAGTATCGAAGGTTGTCTGTCACTTTGTGCATCAGCCATTTTATTCATCACTTGTGTTATTATCCATATAAACGTACCATCACTTGAAGCCAACTCCTTTTCTTCTACTTTCTGTTTTATATTCGACAATTCTTGAAGTGTAGTTTCTTGACTCAACTTGATAGCTGAGATAGAACTTTCTTCCTTTCCATTGCTTTTCTTCAGTTCATTCATATCGTTATACACTGTTTCAATTAAATTATTTAAACCTAATAATTCCATACTTATTCGGTTTGTATCAGTCGATAGCGTTTCAGTCCCACGTGTTAGTATTGATAGTGTTTTATATAAGTTTTGTACTTCAGTATACAGTCCCTTCACAAGACCTGATGATCCTGTTGTACTCTGAGATCCACTCTCAATTAGCATCTGATTCTCATCATTAACTTGATTGTTATTAGTATTCCTATGACTTTGTTGGATGGGTGTTGACGTGTCTACTAAATGTTGTAATTTTTGAAGAAAGTTTAATAGAATTAGTTGATGTTGTTCACTTCTTAGATGAGTTGCGAAATCGGATCGTACAATCTTGAAGTTAGAGACATAATGAGGTCACATGATTGAGTTATTGCTTTTTCTACTTACTCTAGCACTGCAACCATCATTTGAAAAAGGACAGACGATTAATGCGTTCTGACAGGCGAACCACTTGTGGTCATCTAATTGACTTGATGAAAATAATTTTTCACCACAATATTCACAAACATGATCAGTATGACTTTCGTACAAATGAGCCTACAGATGAAAAGTATCTAGAAGGGTTGAGGGATAAAAGATTTTCCACTTCCAAATCTTCTCATTCTTCGGGCTTCGAGAACTCACTGATCAAACTTTTGACAGATTTAGAACTGTGTCAAGGTGATTTATTTTCTCTTTTTTCGTTTGTCTTGTACCAGTCAGATATCAGTTTAGTAGAAAATAAAACTAAAATTATCATCCAGATAGTGTAAAGCAGTGAACAATTTAAACTACTCGGCGTCTACATTGCACTATTCAGAGAACACTGTATTGGGAAGGAAGAATACCCCGCCTTGTGGCTACCGTTGCCGGTGTAGGGTGCTGTCGTGTCAGTTTCAATAGTCCGATATTTTCCCTGCATTTGACAAGCTTCTGAAATGGTCACCCATCTCGTTACTAATCATTAATTGCAGCTCTAGCCAGAAGGCTAGGATGACGCAGAGTCCTTTCGCCCAACTACTTGAGCTCCCCATATACACTTCACTAACCACGTACTACCTTTCCGGGTAGCAACGAGGACTAACCGGAGAAGTTGTATTGTACGTCACAACGTAGTGAGTATCCTGTCAGACGGGTGCCCCGAGGCACTAAGACATAAATAACTTGTACAAGGTTATCACATGACTTTGCTAGCGTCGTGGTTCGAATACAGTATCTTTGAAGTACGTGACGAACAATATAATCATCAAGCCATGCTGCCTGTATTAGAACTTTGCGTCATCATCAGGACGCATTGGATGGTCTTCGTATTATCTATCAGCACACATTACTATGATTCTTATATATTTTCATCTATGTGGGAGATTCTCAATCTACCAAAATACTGATCGTGAACTTTCAGTACTAGTCTGTAACGGTGATAGGTGAAGATCTTAGAACTGCATCGATTCATAGTAGAGAGTCTGGTAGCATGAGCGCACTTATTGTAATAAAACTATATTCTTTTTCGTGAGATGATAATCTCGCTTTTTTGAACCACAAAACATAGTATCATCTCGATAATTTAAGCTTCATTTTTTATAGATCGATACTCATGATCGGAGACATATAAATAGGTTAAACTGATACTTGATCGATACAAATTATCCGTATATGGTTGTTTTCTCTGGCCAAGAATAAAGAAGAAGACAAAAAAAGTTATAATAACAAAGCAAAAACATTTTCCAATTCTCGTTATTTATAGATACGGTACAGCTGATAAAACTGTGAATACTAAATGTTCATTATAGAAAAGATCATCAGAATCGATAGTGTTTAGTATCCATTTTTGTCAAAAGATTCTGCATTTTTTTATCTCTCACACTGAACCATCAACCAACCCGTATGTTTATCTGACCACTTCTGATGCTAAGCATTTTACTCTTTTTAATTTCGCATCGAAATAAACATAACATTAAAAAAAATTTAAAAGAATATCGATGTATTGTGAGCATAGTGTCTTTTTGAAAATAAAATTGTAGGATGTTTGGTGTGTCGGAAGGAAACGGAACAATCATATGGCAGCTTTGTCCAGATTGAATCATAGTATGGAATGGTGCGGAGTGGCCTGGAACGGGCCATTCCAGCCTATTCCGCTTTCTCCCCCTTGAGATTGATTCTATAAACAGAATGATTGTAATCACGCAATCATTTAAGTATAGCATGATGATTGGCACATGTACGTTCTTCTTCTATTGTCATCACCATTTAAGTACAGATGAACTCTCATAAATAAAATAACAATGAGTAAATGAATGCTTGTGTTCCATTTTGTGACCATTTTATACTTGACTCATTTTATGAAAATATGTGCAATACAGAAAACACAAAAAAGTTCAAGAAAAATACACTTCTATTGTCAAAAACTCTTTAGTTGATCACTAACTCCTGTTGAAGTCCAACAGATATGAAACAAAACATTTTCTCTTCGAATATTCTCTAGTCAGAAATGAAGAAACTTACACTGTAAAAAATAAAGTGGGTCATCAGTGAGTAAAATCGTCGGATCCATTTAGATGAGTCACGGCTCACTAGGTCTCCTAGTGGGTCAAATTCTACTGAGCTATTTTTAGTGGGTACTCTTTTCTCAGTGAGTTACAAAAAAGGCAAGTACGGTCTTCTCTTTTTCAAATTGTAGTAAAATAGAAAGAACTGAAACGTAGGGCAAACTATAATAAACTTGGCGCATATTAATTTCCTTATGGATGACACTGCAAATAGAAGTGGAAAGGCGCATTAGTGACCTACGTTTGTTAATTTTCTGGAGAAAATGGTTGCCATCCATATTTTATTCGGTGAGAAAAAACTTAAAACTTTTTTTTATAAATTTCATTGTGTAATACTTTAGTTCAATTTAATTTCAGAATAGGACAAGAGACGCTGCCTAAAACTAAATTCAAACAAAGGCTGCGCTCTGCTGTAGCATTCGAAAAGCCTAATTTTTCCTTCAGTACTCCTCGCTGGGATGGTGATGTGTGAGTAGTAGAATATTGTACATTTTATGCCTTTACATTTTCTCCAATTTTGAAAAGTAAGACTTCTATATGAATATATACGCTCTACCTCTCTATCCTTTACATCTTCTTCTTTTGGAGGGAATAGTGTATTCACGGTTGATTAACAGTCAGTCTGCAGTAAATATTGCTACATATTCTCATCGTTTTAGCGCTTTGTTTATTTCTTTGCTTCTTTTCAATACTTCAGAAAAAATGCAGTGTTCATTTTGCTCCGAGAATTGGAGGACTAAGGACGAATTAATCTTTCATTGTAAACATAAGCATCAGGATAAAAAGGAGTAGAGGTGGATTTTCTCGATTGCATTAATAAGTATCAATCGACACGAGCATTAAGAAAACATGAGTGTCAAAAACACAAGTTTAATTTCAAGGTGGAATGCTTTTGTTCCTTTTGTGCATATTTTCATCAATACAAATGCTGACTATTCAGAAATCAAGAAAATGAGGAAAATTTTGTTGTGCACTGACTAGTAAAAAGGTGTAGGTTGCGGAGTAGTGCATTATAAATAATCGCTTACCGACTTAAAAATCGAATAGAAAAGGGTTTCTACTTTAAAACATATTCTGCCTTCGTAGCTTGGTACTGAGAAAAGTTTTGCTACTGTCCAAACATTTCCCCGCAAACTACAGAAATTATTTAGCATACTAACGGGTGGGCCATAATAAACAGGTCAAAATGTTTTCCTATTTCTGAGATACTTTTCTTTAATGCGGAAACTTGGCTCAGGGCTCATTCTTTAGAATTAAATTATATTAAATTTTTTGAATTAAAAAATGTGGAATTACAGAAATAATCACTTTTCTGACAAACGTTTTGAACTTATATCTTCGAGTTTATGAAAATTTAAAGTTTTCACTTTTTAAAGTAAAAGACACAGCAATATGTTTAGCATTGAATTAATTGTGTGAAAATAAACTTTTTTCACATTAACCTGGTTCTGAAAAATCCATTTTCCCCAAAACGTGACGGAAAGGCCACCACCTCTCAGTTCTAGCCTATTTCTGTCAAACCATAAAAGCAAAAATTTTGAAAAGAGTGTAGAAATATAGAGAGCAAAATTGCCATTCGATTCATGCAAAATACTTTATGTTTACTAGCAAACTTCATCTAGAAAAACGGAGCACAAATCAAACAGATAGTCAGTAGGGGTGGCACTTTACTAGTTACTCGACGTTACTTTACTAGGTAAAGTAACGAACTTAGTTACTTAGTTACTTAGCAAGTAGTAACTATGTTAGTTACTCGTTACCAGTAACGAGTAACTAATG